TTACATCCCAGTTGATCATGGTGAGTGATCCTTCTTTGCGTTGCTGACTTCTGCTTGCTACAATTCTGTTGAGAATTTTTGCATCTATATTCATCAAGGATATTGGTAATGGTTTTCTTTTCTGGCAGCATCCTTTTCTGGCTTTGGTATTAAGGTGACGCTGGCCTCATAAAATGAGTTTGGGAGTGTTCTTTCCTCTTCGGTTTCTTTAAGAAGGGTTTGAGAAGGATTAACACTAATTCTTCTTTCAATATTTTGTAAAATTATCCATTGAAGCCTTCTGGTCCTGGTCTTTTCTATGTTGGAAGATTTTTGATTCAATCTCCTTACTAGTAATTGGTCTGTGTGGATTTTCTCTTCTGAATTCAGTTTGGCAGACGGTGTGTTTCTTACAACTTCTCTGCCTCAGCGCTGGGCCTGGTTATGACTCAGGATTCCTGGGTCGGGGTAGACCAGGCTCCCCCCGGGGCTGCAGAGTCTTTTTGTTAAGGACCCGAATCAGGCAGACCTACACCCCACTGAGTCCCCTGGTCAGACTGTGCCACCAACTTGATTCTGCAGATGCGCAGAACCTCTGGGACTGCTGCGCTTGGGTGCTGCAGGTGGGAGCTCGGTCTGTCACATTCGGAGTGCAGGTGACTTCTCTGTCACATCTGGATTCCTAGTGATCAAGGCCCACCGGGTTCACTGCAATTCCCATGGGCTGAGACTGGAGTGGGTGCGGCCAAGAGGTGACCCACAATGTGGGGGGAGCTGGATATCCTCTCTGGCCTCTCTTTTCAAAATGGGGTAACTGGAGGCTCGGGGAAGCCTTGGCGTGGTGCTGCGCCAGTGTCGGGGACAGGTAGCGCCGTCACCACGTAGCCACTCCTCTTACCTTGTTTTTCTTTTTCTTTTTCCTTTCTGCTTTGCACTGAATTTTATTTCACTAAACTATGGGGGGAAAAATACTGAAACGGAGTTCCTTCAAGCCTCCCCAGGCAAGGAGGCCCAGAAGCCACTTTTGTCTCCAGACTCCTGCACATTCTTCTTCAGCCCAGAGAGAGAGGAGCGCCAGGTGCCCAAGGTGCATTACGAGGCACTTTTGAACACTTCCCAGTTAAACATGGTAAAGCTGAGCTCACTCTGAAAGATGAAGGGGACCAGGCAAATTTGGTCGGAGCAAGGGAGGTGTTAGTAGGTGAAAATCGTATCCTTGGCGTACCCCAGTTCCCCCAGGTCAGGGTGCGCGGCTGTCTGGATCAGGGCTAGAGGGCCGCACACCAGGACGAACGTGGGCCCCCCAGGAGGAGGGAGGTGCTCCTTGACCACATCCTCGGTAATGAGCCTGAGCTGTACTTCCAGCCAGCAGGAGGCCTGTCCAGGGGGTACCACAGTCTGAACTGCTTTGGATGACTTCTTCAGGCTCCTTTCTCACCAAGATATCCCCCCCTGTCTGGTGGGCAAAGATGAGGGACGTCCTGGTCCTGTCACTGGGCTTCTTGGTGATGCAGCACGGGCGTGGTCCCTGTGCCCCCAGCAATCATTCCCGGGTGACGGGCCAGTTTATTTTCAGGTTCACTCGTTCTGTGTGGCTTGACTGCGAACTTCCCTGACCCCTGATAGAACAGGTGCCCGGGTGGCCCTCGAAAAAGGATGGTGTCCCCAGTTTTCCTGTTCTCCAAGTACTGGGTCATCTCCCCCCTTCTGGATGATTAGTGTGTACACTTTTGAAGTAGGTCTTTATGATTAAGTCCACAAAGCCGAGATCATCAATACTGGGCACAGGCCTGTAAGCCCTGATCACAAAACATCACCAGTTTTGGCCAAGAGATAAACGCCGTTACCTACAGGAAGCCCTGAGGCATGGTCTGGCGACGGCGGTCCAAGGCGGGACCTTGGTGTTGTGGCTGATTTGCCCTTTCTCAGTCAAGGGCAGCGGGCCCTTGGTTTCAGGGTCCTGTAAGGTGACAGGGCGTCTCCTCTTGAAGTTCATGTTCCTCAGGGCCACCAGGAGCACAGCGACGCAGTAACAGTGATGGCGCGGAGCGGGCGGGTCCTTAGCGCCTCAGGAGACACACCAGCCCTCTCCGAAGCAGCCGAATGAAGCCTGGGCCCTCACCTGCCACCGGCTTGGCTGGCCTCCCCTCCTCTCACCTCGTTAGCGCGGTCTCTCTCGGTCTCCATGGCGCAGAGTGCTTCAGCCGCAATCGCGGTGTCCCGTGCGTGCTGCTTGCTGACTTCCTCGCGAGGGGAAGGGGGAGCCAGGGAGGAACTATGTGGCCATGCTGGCGATGACACCCTCACTTACTGTGTATGCATAACATACTTTAATTAAAAAAAAAGTGACAGCTGTAACTTAAAAAGTTTTTTTTTTTTTCCTGCACAGATATAATGATTATATCCACACTCATACCATTAAATCAAAAACAAGACACACACATTCAAGCCTGGAGTTGTTGGGGGAGTTAACTGACCAGAGTGGAGCCAAAGTAATGGTGGGGGGTGGAGAAATGTGTACAAACAATGCTGTAAGAGCGTTCATTTTGTTATATAAAGGATTTTCTGAAGGCTGCACACCTTTTCTCCTTGGTTACCTTATAATGACAAACATTTAAGTCATCCTTAGGTACAGTTGAATTATATCCACTTGTAAAGGAAAAAAAGTGTTAACACCAAACTATATATTAATGTATTTGCAGCTGATTTATATAAGGAATGTCATTTTAAAATTTCTACCATGTTTTAAAAATTGTACCCTGCGGAGTCAACAAGTGGCTTCAAATGAAAATCCCTGGAGCAGTGCTTCTCAGTCTGCTGTTCATCAGAATCACCCAGTAGGACTGCTAAGCCACTGGTTGCTGGGCTCCAGCCCAGTTTGTGATCCAGTGAGTCTGGGGTGGGACTCAGGAATCTGCACTTTTTAAACAAGCTTCCGGGCGACGTTCCTGCTGCTGCTGGGCCAAGAGACCACACCTCCAGTGCCCCAGTGATCTGCCTTTTTACTTTGAGTATTTTCTATTCTGCTAATCTCTCTTGAGTTTGATAAAAGGAAGCAAAACCACGCAAAATTCTTAAAGAACAAACTTTTATTCTAAAAATAGACCTCAGTAACAATGAAATACCAGAAGCTGGTCATTACAATAAAAAGGAAAAAAAAAGTAACAGGAATTTGCTTTGCATTTTTTTTTCTGAAAAATACAAAATTATCACCATAATATACTGCCAGCTCTCATTCATCTGTATTTGAATTATTCATTCTATGGATTATCCAAGGAAATTTTAAAATCAAAGATTGAATTCTGCCTAATATTTAGACACACATCTGGATTGCTTTTATCTTCAAGTAAGTACATTCTCAAAGAATGCGAAGAATTTGCTTAAGTAAACATAATTAGGAAGATAAACTTTCCTGCTAAGGAAATATGCTCTAAAGTGAAAGACTGCTTTGCCATCACTGTTTCCCTCAGTTTTTTGCAGATAACCAAAAAAACCTGATTGCAATGAAGTACTGATATTTGAAAGTAACAAATTACACAACTCATATACAGAAAAAAAGACATAACTAAATTATTTCAAACCCAAAGCACAGGCAGCTTTAAAGGCAAATAATGACATTGAGTACTTAAAAAAGTGGTTTTACATCTTCAAAGTGCTAAAGAAACAAGTATTCAAGAAAATTTCAGGCCTGTCTACAAACTTCTGACTGGCTGGAAGTACTGAAGTATCAAGAACGCGGAGACAAAACAAGTTAAATTTAAAAGGCCCCCATTACCATAAAATGTGGCTTCAGTGTATTTTGTAAAGAAATGCAAGCAGTGGGTAAAAGAGCAGTTAGGTAAGTTGAATGTTACTAACTTAGCCCTATCAGCCCACATCTCTTTTGAAACTAATGTAAACACACGTGTTTCAAGGTATTTCTTCAACATTGCATGTGCCACATCCATCCATCTGATCATATTCATATTTTGTATAGTTTTTATCATCCATATGCATCACATCAATTGGCCGTAATGCACAGTGAGTAGAAATGATCCTTTTATATCAGAATTCTTAATTTTCTGCAAACCAAAAGCTGATCACAAAAGTATTAAATGTAGGTACATATTCACTAGGCCTTCTTAGCTCATTTTTGGACTGTCAGAAATCGGTATCAGTTACTTTGACCACCTAAGGTAGAAGAAATAGTATCTTAGGACATAGTATGACTAAATACCTCTTTTGTCAAAACTGGACCCTGAGTACTGAGCGCTGGAATATAACCTGTAAAACCGAAAACACTCCAAAATACGACAGCTAACACAGGTGTCCCTACGGTACTGCGCTTTTTGTCTCCATTAACGTGGTGCATGTAAGAGAGCCGCCTCTCCGGCAGGGAGGAAGAGGGGCAGCTGAAGCACACCCAAGCAAGGAAACAGGGCATTTCCAGCTAAAAGTCTCCTGTTTTAAAACTTAATTTATTCCAGAATACGCTGGTGTAATTTATTCCAAAAATGCTGTTTCCCCAAATCTCTCTGTAATGTCGACAGTGCATGAATATACAGCATTCCCCCCTTGCAGGTTTAGCTGCCCAAGGGGGCTCCACAATCCCCGGCTGCCTGGACCCAGCATCCATCCCTGGTTCTGACGACATGTTGCTTTGGAAACCATCTAAGGGTCTTCTTCTTTTTTTTTTTTTTTTAAGTTAGGTGTGTTTACACTACATTAATCATTTCTAGATACTGAAAGCAGCTGTACATCTCTGAAAAATATTCACTAAATATAAAATTAACAGCTGAATATGAAATAAAGCAGTTTCCAGTGGTGACAGTATTCTCACAGTAGCACATAAATCTATTATTTAAAACTAACAGCTAAGTCTTTAAAACATTATCATGTTAAACATTTCAATTTACTGAAATTACATAGAGGAAAAAAAAATTACATCAACTGTCACTGAAAGCTCAAAAGATGGCCTTAAAAATGCAGGCTCTCCGATGGCTTTCTGACAGGCCAAGCCTAGGTATTGTTTCTGGTTTTGATTTTTTTTTTTGGTGGGGGAGGGTGTGTGTTTTGTTTCTAAACCAAGTAACTAAGCTTTAAACTTACGAAACATTGATGTTTTCTGAAGAAGAGACACCTAAGCTAAAGTTACACTTAAGATTTGGCTTATTTGTATAAATTCCGCTCTGTGACTTTAGTAACTAGGATAAACCCAGCTCTTACGAGCACTGAAGTTCTTTGAGCAACAAAGGCGGCACCACCCTGAGTGCGGCGACAAGCTCCCTGTACGACCAGATGGCATCCCGCCCTTTGGTGACGATGTCGTCTAATCACTGGCCTGTGCAACTAATGCCGCAAAACAAGGGGACGGGCCTTGTCTTGCTGTGTATTTTCTAAAAGTGGTTCTAACCACTGCATTAACTGTACGGTCCATATGGCCACTAAAAAACCCCGAACCAAACCCTTTTTACCTTCAGTAATCATGAGGAATCTTTACACATACTTATATAATACATTGTACATTATATGCATGGCCTGTGTATGCTATTTTCAAGAAGAGAATCCTGTTTTAAACTAATAATAAACCAAAACCAATTGGGCTGCTTCAGTCTTTCTTCTTTCCGTTGGTCCTTGGAACCTTTAAATGATGGCGTCGTGTTCATCACTGTAACAGACCGAAAGTTAAAATCACTGTAAGTTTTATATTTATATCAAACTCCTTCTATGTTTATATTTTTAAGTAAAGCAATGAATAACTTGAAGCTTCAGAATCAAAACTGTCATTGCTCTGTGTAAAGCTTCTTGCGTAAAAGCACCTGGCATGCTGCAGTGGTTAAGGACTCAAGCAGTGTATTCAGGTTGTGAAATGGACCGACATTCAAATCTCTGCCCCTCGGTGGCTGTGGGACTTTTCACCGGTTGGCTACTATGACCCTCTTTAAAAAAGAAAAACAACCAAAACCACCATCGTTTCTTGAGCATTTACTATATGCCAGGTGTTATGCTGCAGACTTTACATCCACATTTCACTTAACCATCACAGTTGCCCTATGCAGACAGAGGGCACTTAAAAGTATTTTTTATAACTTTGTTTAATCACTCAACCAACCAGTCTCATTCTGCAGAAGATCAGAAGCCAAGAAGCACGTGCACTCTTGTCTTGACCACTGTACACTGTGCTGTATCCTTTATATAAACACGAGGAGGCACCTTGCTAGTCAACAGTGGAACCAGGCTCAAAATTAAGTCTCTCTGTCCCAAACCCCATCTCTTAACCACTCCATCCACTGTCTCTCCGTGCAACTCTTAAGAAACACAGGAGCAAGCACTTTATTCAGTGTTTTAATCAGTGTTATTATCCAATAAATGAAAACCAGAAATGCTCACAATTACTAGATATAGAAGGTCTCAGTTTTTTTAATAGGAGAAACATTGAGTCCTTACTTATAGAATGTCAGTTTTTTATAACTGTGAAGGGAATTATTGGCTTTAAAATGCACTTTTTTAAAAAAAATGTAGTGCTACAAAAAACAGGGCCAACTAAACTACAACACAGTGCTTTCTCATCCCACAGGCTGTAAGATACATCCACTGCAGAGGTGTTAAAATGTGGAAAAACACAAAAACAAAAAATGTGTACTTAGTCTCAACTAAATATGGTATTTTCACCATCTGCTGGTTCCTATGAATAATATTCCTGTTAGAGACAGTGTCTTACACACCCACAGTTCCATTACAGTCACAGGGGCTCTGGACTCTCTGACTTCCTCCACAGGGCATGCGGCATTATGTGATCACGTGTATGTGAGGAAAAAACCTGGTCCACAGAGCTAAAATTACACACTTTGTAGTTAAGGCAGTTTAAAATGAAAACAGGACATTTAAATTCAATTCTTTCCCTATTTTACAGCCTCAACCATCTCAAAAATATTGATATTATAAAAAAATGACTGGCATTAAATTTACTATAATCAAAATGTGCCTTCCGTTTAACTGGTGAAATTTACCAGGAGAACAGATAATAACTACTTCACAAACGCATTAAAGCATTTTTAAAGTTAACGCTATTTAGTCAGTTTCCTTCACGTATTGTTTTCCTTTTATGGGTTGACCTGAGAGAGAAAAGAATGAATGTTTCTAAATATGCTTTTTAAAAACATTTATTACTGTATTATTTAATCAAAGATGCTTTTAATCTGGCAAAACACCACCTTGATAGTCTTTTAAAGTGAGTTTGGGGTGATGCATACTGTATATGAAGGGTAACTTTCAACTTAAATATGATTTTTTAGAAGTCTGGTTTTCTTAGTGTAATGAAAAATTTGAGAAATATTTTCATATTACATTCTTCTAGAAATTCCTGGTGCACATCAACCTATCAAAGCCTTACAGAATTCTCATAGTAAAGCAATCTGTTCTATTTTACTTTGTTCAATTAGTATTTCCCAAATGTTTCTGATGCGGAAACTCTGTGGGACACGTATGTGTACAACAACTTACACAGAACAAATTTTGGAAAATGCGTCATCTATTCTGTGGTATTTATATACATTAGCAATCCAAAGAAGGAATTCACTCTTCCATATATGAGACTCAAAAGAGAAAACCAATTGGACTTTGTTTGAGTAACAAAAGGCATGAGATGAAACCTCCAAAAACCATCAGACCTAGAGCGTTCTGCGCAGGGGAAACGCGGTTTGTTGATGGGGACCTGCTGATTACGCTCATCTGAAAAAGACTGTTCTACTACAGATAAAATGATCATGTATATTACTTACACTAACAACTCATATGATATAGTAAATTACCAGGGAAAATGAGGCTGTCACGGCATTTCCTTCTTTGTGACACAGAAAGCAAAAATCACGTTTTTATCAAGGAAGTTATTTTACTGTGTCTTGTGTTTGTCATTAGCACTAAGTCAACAGCCTCATGTGACCTGATACAGTAGTTCTTGAGATAAAAGATAAAAGCAAGTAAAAACGGTTGGCTAAACTTGGGTCTCTGGTGAAAAAAAAAAAGATACTAATAAAATACAAACATTTTTATAGGTGTATATACATCCATTTTGACTTGCAAATAATTATAAACGCAAGCTTGTACATAAATAATTTACTTTAGGCATAGAGGATTGATGGGAATATAGCTCACGAATCTATGAACTATTAACCCCTGGGATGAATACTGGCTCTCCTCTGGTATTTTGTCATGATACTTAAATAAAGAAATACAGAACTAATAATAATAATAAAAAAGTCCTGGCCAATGAAAACTTACATGGTTCTATACCGAATGCCTCTTCTTGAATAATACACTTTGCATCCAATGTAAAGAAAAGATAAAACTCCCAGTGTTAGTACAATACCACCAACAAAGCTGCCGGTATCGAATCTGGATCCCTTGTTTTCCTTAGAATTAATAGTTCCTGTGACTAGAAGAAAAGAAAACAGAACAAAAAGTAGGCACTTAGTGCTTTTAAAATACATTGTAATAAAATGTAACAAAAATAAAAGCTAAACCATTCCATGCAAGGGCTGAATATGAAGTACGCATGGATACGAATGCGAACATGGGATGAGGGGGAATCCAGGCACAGAAGGCTGCTCTCCAGCTGATTTTGTGTCTAGCGACTGCCTGGCTGCAGCTTTATGAAACCCCCCGTGCCTGCAACCCTAAGATCTTACTGTGGGGCTGGACTTGGACAGTCTGCCAAAACCTCAGAGGCAGCGAGATTTGGGAGTTTTTTTCCCTGATGAATCCTCTGAAAATTTCATGCCTTAAACAAAATAGGTCTGGGTAACGGCTGCAATCCTTGAATCTGATCCAATTTGAGTTTCTAACTGAAATCCCTCC